CATTGTGTTTTGTGAAAAGTGAATGTGATATTAAGCTTAAGGTTAGTATTGAAGAATTTTCTGATCTGTTGAATATGTGCTCTGTCAGAAGAAAGGAGATTTAAAAATCCGTGTATTTCTTTACTAGCTATTGGTCCATCATAACAGCATAGTATTTGGCATCTGAATCATATTTCACATTAAGACTTTGAGGTTTTTTAATAAACAAGATAAGCAGTTTATTTTGTGTCTTGTACTCCAGTTCTGAGCAGCCTCTGGGAGATGACACATTGTTTACTTTCATATCGATAGTTTTCACAGAATAAAGCTTCAACAGGAGTTCCATCATGTTACAAGTGCCAGGCCTTTTAAGTTATCTGGGGATCTTGCCAGTAGTCTTTAAAAGAGCCCAGCTAATTAAATCTTCCAGTTACTTAGTATTTCTGGCAGTAGGATCTTTCTTGTGCCTGTCTCTCTTCAACAGTATAAAGTCACAGTGAAGGGTTTTTTGAAAAATCTAAAAGCAGTATGTAAAAGGATTAGTAAATGGATGTTACCGCAATAATAACCTTATACTGTACTGCACTCTAGTATTTAAAAGTTCTCCTTTGTAAGTAAACTGCTTTTAATGGTTTTAGAAGAGCTCTTTCTGTGAGTCACCGTTGTTGAACTTGATTTGTGCTGATAATTAATGTCTTTAATATATTTTTCCAGTTTATTTCTGTAATGCTGTGTTGCTGTTGTTTTATGCCTGAATCTCTGAAGCCAAAATACTGCTGTCAGCAGTTTTCTGTACCTCCTGTTGGTACCCTTTTCTGATGCTGCCTATTTATTGGTAGTCTTGGCTGTTTGCTCTTACATTTGTGCCTTTTATTTTCCACTGGTATATATATCTTTCTAACAGTATTCTGGATGTCCTGCTTCCAGATTCTGAGTTACGAGCCTGACAACAGCGCTGTTTCTGTTCCTTAGACATGCATCTCCCAAAATACCTTCCAGTTTCTTTAAGCTTTCCTCTAGCAAGATGAATGCAGAGTCCTTTTTAAGCTCCTTTATAAAATCAAGAATTGGGAAAAAGCCTTCTAATCTGTCTGTACTAGAGGCCTCATGAGGCCTCCTGGCCTGGCTCTTCAGACTTCCTTAAGGTTAATTTGAGTTTATTAATAATCTTTATTTTAAATGTGTTTGAGCTCTGCAGTAGTGTGGGGGGTTTTTTTTGTTAATGTAGTGGATATACTGCCTAGAGGACTTCAAGTATATTTCTCTATGAATTTCATTGAAATGAAGCCCTGGGGTGATGATCTGGAATGTTCTCCTGGTTTAAAATGTTTTAAAAAATGTTTTTTAATTATTCTGTGTTTTTCATTAAAGGAGTGAATGCATGAAACTTTTTCCATGCAGTTTTTGCTGTAAGAGCTGTGAAGGTGCTGTTTTGCCAGTCTGATACCTCAGACAAAAGGTGGAAATTTATGTAAAGAATAAGTACAAAATGTTTAGATCTGTACAGGGAATTTGAGATGGAGAGTATAGCGTTTACTGGTCTGATAGAGTGCATTGTGATATGGGTTACTTTAGGGTAGAGAAACTGGAAAAAAGAGGTCTTAGGGGAGGGCTTGGGGAGTTGACTGCTTAGCAGTGTTTAATTGGCTACTCAGTATGAGGAGTGGAAAAAATGGCATCTGATACTTAACTAAAGTAAAACAGTTTTCTTGTTAATAGGATCCTATATTTTTCTGAGCTTGCTGTGATCTTGACAACTTTGAATTTTAATTAGAGAAGCATTACAACACAGTTATTGATAAACAGTTGAACTATTCAGGTGGGTTGTTTCTTTTTCCTTTGCTTAACAGTATTTTTTTAATAGTTGCTTAGAATAAACTGTAAAACCAGTAGCGTTCTGTCACTGCTCAGATTTTTCTAGCATTCTAAACCATTGAAACACGAAGGGTGTGTTTCTAGTGAGCCATGGATTCACCCATTTCTAAAATTGTGCTGCTACTGCCCCAGAGCATCTCACACTTTGTATCTGAGGGCATGTACTGCAAGCATTTGGAAGCGGAATCTCCAGCAGCTGTGAATCTGCACCAAGAGCAGATGGCTGCCAGAGGTGCTTTCAGGGGTTGAGGTGGTGTGCTAACGGGCTTGCTCACCTCTCTGGGCAAAGCATGGTGCACTCTGCCTGGCTGCATCATCAGCTCTTCCTTCAGGTCTGCTATAGTGAACAGACCTTTGCTCCAAGACTTCAGGGACTTTGAAAGTATTCTTTGTTCCCAAACCTTGATGAATTGCTTGCTTTAAACCTGAGTAAATGTCAACAGGCTTTGGCATCTTTTTAGCAGCATATGTACGTACCGAATATTGCGCTACCCAGTGTATGTGAAGTGGGAGGGAAAAGGAGCTCTAGTACTTGGAATTTGTGTTTAAAGACTATTTCATTACTTCGTTTTAACTTTTGCAATTCTTATCACTTATTTGAACTATAATATTGTTAATGTTTAATGTAGCTATTCTCTATGACGGAATAAAAGCCTGACTTTTTCTGATAGAAAATAAATTACAGCTTTCTATTTCAGATGTGGTATTTAATTGTTCCTCACTGTCCAGGGTGATTTTTCTCAATTGTGTGAGCCAAGATTTCCTGCTTGAACGTGGTTTTTCAGATGTGTATATATAGCTTGAGTTGTTAAAACCAAAATATTTTGATCCTCTGCTTCTCCAGTGTTGCAACTTCTGAGACCTCTCAGGTGTGTCTAAACTTCAGTCTAAAGTATGACCAGAGCTTGTTTAGGCATATCCATGCTACCTTTACATTAGTGGTCTTGGGTACTGATAGCAGCAGCTGCAAGGCACCCCATGTAGTAGTTGGCTTCGGTGTATCTTTACACCTTCCAGATAGTGCTTTTGGTATATGCAGAGTAAATTTGTGCAAGATTAGTGTGGGTGTGTATTTAATGAATAATAGTGTGACTGTTAGTGTTAAATGTGTGCCCGCCTCTTTTAATTTACTTGTGTGGGACACTCAAAATCCTGTCTTGACTGCTGTTTTCACAGATCTTTGTACTGGTCACCTCTGCAGGTTGTTTAGGGTGAGTTGGTTGGTTGGTTTTATTTTCTAATCATGCAGAATTTCCAGTTCCTGAAAAGTTGGGCTGCTTTGGCTCTGTTAATAAAGTGCACAGAGAGAAGGGAAGCTGAACTCACATACTCAGATAAACAGAATGTGTATTCTGAGAAGGAATACTGTGACCTGAGTTTCCAGGTATAGCAGTCCTGGCTGCAACTTGTCATATGTTAAGGTGTGTTTAAGTTGTGGTGCTGTTTTTGATAGCAGAATATTGTGTTACGTATACTAAAAACTGCGGATAGTATTGTGATCTGTGTTTTATCAAAACATCTCTGAATATTCTAACAAAAACTCCGGTTCTTACATGTATTTTAAGTACATACTGTGATTATATCAGAAAATACAGGATTTATGGGACTAAAGTAATGATCAGATGGTTACTGGAATAGTCTTAGGATGTTGCTTTCACTATATTATTAGCTAACAACTTGGATTTTTCATTTGTGTGGCTCATACAGGTGGAGTTTCCAGAGTAATATGTATTTTGGATTAGTTTAGGGTGGATTTTTTTCTTTCTTCAAAGCTGTTCTAAAATTGTTGGCAGAAGGTTGCACTGGTTAATATGTTGCTCCTTGGATCATGTTCAGCTATTATTGGAAGTGCTGTGGTTCAGCACAATTACAGTTGACTGGTAGCTGTATCAGTTCAGACAAGAGAAGACATAGCAGCTGAAGAAGTCTTTGAAACAAGTGGTTCAGGACTAATATATAATGTAGTAGTTCAGCAGTCCTGAAATAGTATTATACCTGTCTTGGCATCCCTGCTTTGTGCTTTCCCAACAATTCTTTGCATTTCTTTCTCCATCTTTGGAGTCTCAAGAAAAGTTGTAGCATTGCACTACACTACATTTGAATCGCAAGTGGTGTTAATGCACTAGAAAATTGTGATTAATGTCCTCCAATTAACTAGTCCTACGTAGTGCATAGAAGTACAGAAACAAAAGCATGCAGGCTCAGCTCACTTAGAGTGTGCCAGTGGGATTGTTGGCAAAGAACTCCAGCTGGTGGGATCCAGGGAGCAGCATGTGTAGGTGGTTGGTGGTACTGGAGGCAGGTGTCTGCTGCAGGTTGCCCTGAGTCAGCACATGGGGTAATACTGCATGCTGAATACAAGGTAAATAAAAAAGGAAAGCAAGTAGAGGAGAAGAGAAAATTAATAAATTGATGGAGATGTTTGAATAAGATCTTAAGAGGTAAATGAATGTTGGATGCTTTTAGGTGTATTTTTAATAAAAACATATGGTTACATTTATTTGTAATATTAGTTTATGTGGCCAAGATACCTTTCCATTGCTTAACACAAAGGTGCATTCTTCCAGACTGAATTGGTAGAAAGTTGTCTTGGTAAGAGCCTGTGGATATCATATAACAGGACAGGTAAATTGTATAAGTGTTGTGATTGTGATATAATCTTGTTCATAACTCTTTAATAGTATCCTTTAAAGGAGAAACAGAATTAGTTGAGGAAACCTGAGTTGTTATAAGGCTATTTCCTTGTGATCATAATCTCCAATTATTTCTTAAGTATTCTGGGTAAAAAGCAAGTAGACTAGTGGCAGTAAATTCTGAAACTCACAAATACTGAACTTCTAGCCACAGTATCCTGATAGTAAACAGTAACAATGATGGTAAAGGTAAGAATGTGGGTACACTCAAAAGCTGAATGAACGCTATCTTCCTTTTTTTTTTATGTGGACTTCTTCATGTTTACTTGTATTTTAAATAAGTAAAAATGCTGTTCTTGAAACTGTGAGTTTTAATACTTTGATACGACAAGTAATATTTTTTTATTATGTATATATTTTATAATGTCAATATAAAAACCAAGATAGAAGGAAACTGATCAGGAGATGTGTCAGTAATTTGGGCAGTTTGGGTTTTGGGATGTTTTTTTTGTTACATCAAAAGTTCCTGCTTTTAGTGTCTTAAGGCTTTCCTTCCTCTTCCAGAAAATGCTGGGACAGAAGAGATGAGTACTCCCTTTACTAAGGCCTAAAACTGCCTGTTGAAAAACAATCCTGACCAGGCAATATACGAATGGCCCAAGGAAGCCAGCAAATTGATATTCAGGTTTTACATGACCTGCGACAGAAGTTTCCTGAGGTACCTGAAGGTGTTGTATCCAGATGCATGTTACAGGTCAGTGTTCTGTTAATGACTCCACAAGTAAGCAGTGTTGCTTATTTTAAGCATTATGTATGGGTGTCTCCTTTGAAAGAAGATATTTTTTTCTTTCTATTTTCCTTTTTTGAGTGAGACAAATCTCACAGCCAGTTTCTTTGTGTTGAATTGGCCTCTCTTTTTCCATGTCTAATCAAGGGTGGCCCAAGGTAAACCATCCTGTAAATCACAGTGAGTATGGAGACTACCTACTCACCAATCAGTATGCTTGTGCCTTTTAGCCATCTCATGAGCCACTAACTGTGGCAAAAGGCAGAATGCAAAGCCAACATGAGTCCAGCAGAGACAATTAAAGGTTGGGGTTTTTTTGTTTGTTTTGTTTTGGGTTTGTTTTTTTGTTGTTGTTGTTGGTTGGTTTAGGTTGTTGGGGTTTTTTTTTATCGCTTTGAGGGTCAAGACAGATCCTGAAGCATCTTTGCTACCTTTGTCCATCAGGCTTCAAGGTAATTAGTGGGCCCTTGCCTTGCATGCAGGTTGCTCCCTCTGCTTTCTACTCGCAGCTCCCTTGGTCTGCAGAGCCAGTGCTGATAGCCTTAAGGTATCTTGTGCAGCATGGAGCCTAGGAGCGAGATACAGACGCTCAAAGTCAGCCTGAATCAGGCAGGGCTAGGTGGTTGTGGCCTAGCATCCACTGTGTTAGACCTGGATGGATGTGATGCACTGGTGTGCTTCTGCCCAGTGCTTCCCATGGCTTTGGCTGCCAGATGGGCTTCATTCATTTTGTTGTAGCTTTGGAATCCATGCTGCTAATCTATGGGTTTCTGTTGAGCTTGAAAGTAACAAAGCATTTTTTACTGGCACTGCAGTTAATGCAATGGCTATGGACTGCCATATCATCAACTTCTACCTCCAGCAATCTATTTTCTGTATTGCCACCATCAGAATGCTTACACCCATATTTTGTATCAGCTTCTGCTCTGTAACATCATGTTAGTTACTTCTGCAGATAAGTTAATACGCCCATCCAAAGTCTGGTACCTTGAATACCTGGGGTTAGCAAATGCGGATAGACTTACTTAACTATGTTGCTTAAACATGTTTGCTTTGCGTTTTCCAGTGATCACAAAGCATCCATACTGATTGGATTTTTTTCATTATCTAAGGTGTTCAATCTTTGAGTACTCTGGATAATGAGAGGGTTGTCTGAATGTTCATATGGATCATCAGTATACACAATTTGATTAGAAAAAAGATGTTCCCAGAAGATGTTCCCTGAGTTCCCAGAAGCTAGCAGTCTCTGGACTATGGCTAGGACATCTGTGGTTATGATGCAACATTCTTTATATCCTAGTTGCTTGTCTTGGGTTTTATATGTACTTTTATTTATAAAATACATATATGTATATACTTACATATGTATATGTAGTCATACATACATGCATCCAAACGCAATTTTAGAAGTGTGACTGCCAATTTAATGTTCATATTTTCAAGACTGTCTCATGACTCTCCATTTGTACTAGAGTAAAAAGCTGTGAAAAGTGCAGTTATTTGAGAGAATTGCTTTAACTTGCAAGAGAGCAAAATTCAAGGCTCATTAGGTTCTAAGCTTTCCCACACCCTTTCTCTCTGTTTAGCTGAAAAGAGAACTAGACTATAAATTGCCAGTATTTGTTTTCAGGATTGTACACTGCCATTTTATTAGTTCTCTGTAGGATTAATGTAATTCTCATGCTACAAGTATAGTTTTGTCCTTCAAACATGAGAACTGCTTATTGAGCAAGGTCAATGGACTTGACAGAGTGAATACATCAGAAATTTAAAACCTCTCAGCTCTTGAGAGATTCAGCAGTCTTCATAACATTGAATACACTGGGCGATTTATATTTTTGTATACATTTTCATATATATATATATATATATAAAAGAGCCTTTATCTGTGAAGAAAAGATACTGTGCAACCCATACTTTGACAGAGAGATTGGAGAAGGGTTTAGAAGTTGGGGAATTGTTTTAGGTCTGCTTTCATAAGAGGATCTTTCAAAAATGCCATAGTGTAATTAATGTTCCATACGTGCAGTATTATTACACTAACTCATTACAGTGGAAAGCTACCCTTTTGTTGTTGTTGTTGACTGAGAGCTTCCAAGACCCACCAGTAAAATCCTGTCATGTTGGTGGTTCTCTGAAATTTCTTGAGCTCTGATTTCTCTGAATCAGTGGCTTCTATGAGCTACCATAGTTTCTAGCTATGCTACTCCTCTGAGATAGGGGGGAGTTTTTTAGGCTTGGGTTTTTTTTGCTTGTTTGGTTGGTTTTGTTAAAAAAGAAGCTTAATGTGATCTCGTTAAAGCATGAAATTTTGTACTTTGACTGGTGGTGAAGATTGGAAAGCAGAATTTGACTACTTTTGCATGTGTTTGCAGTACTGCTGGAACAGTGTCGGAATATTCTAGTTCCTGTAGTTGAGCATAGTGGAAAGAATTTCTGAAAAATGCAGTAACTTGGTTTAGGTCAAAGATAAGTACTTAAGGACAGTATCAGGTATAAGAAATGCTGTGTTTACCTTGATGTGTCAGGTGAAGTATCTTGTCTGGGTGAAATTATTTTTGAACTGGGGATATGTTCCAGGAGAGAACCTGAAAGAGTTTAAGCAGTTACGCAGTTTGGTATTGGATTGGCAAGAGGCTTTTTTAACAAGAAGTTTCTTCAGATCACCATGAACTGTGCAGGAAAGTGACACAGATCCTTAAAACTCCACAGATCCTTCAGTCCTCTTCCTTCTATTTTTGTTTTTGTTGGGGGGGGGTTGTTTGTTTTGGTTTTTGTTCCTTTTTTTTTCTTTGCTAAACACTTTCAGCTTATTTTTAAAGGAAGGCTTGTAGCGTTATATGCTTATAATGAAAATCTTGAGAATAACAGAGTATGCAAATGTCTTAAGGTGATTAGCCCACTGCTGAAATAGCTGAACAGTATCGAGTATACTGAAAACAGAGGACCACCAAAAAATCTAATAGGATGAAAACTGTATTAATCTAGGGAATGAAGTTTTATTGCTTTCTTGGGCTGACAGCACTGAATGTTCTTGAAAAGTTTTGCATCTCTCCATTCTTCCCAGCAAGCCTTCTGCATTCGGCTCTCCCCTTCTCCTCGTTTAAGGGAGTCACTGCAGTGTCCCTAGTCTGTGGACATTGTCCCCTTTTTTTTCTTTTTTTGTGTCTGGAGCATTCTGTAAGTACCTGCTCCTTAAGTCTACATACTCTCCTTGCTTCCTCATTTCTCTCCAACATTCTTATTCATTCTTTTTTTTTTTTTTTCTTTCTCTTTCAGGATGCCAACATTTTAAACTCAATTGGGACATGGGCAGAGCTAACATGAGGGGTATTGTTTTGCTGGAATATGCTCAGTTCTGCCATCAACCGATTCTCTGATCTGTAAAGAGCTAGAAGCGGTTGAAACTCTGCCTCTGCCAGCCAGAAGATGCCAGGGGTTCCATGTGCCCCCGTTTCCCCTTTGTGTGATCCAGTTTGCTCATTGATGTCACTGAAATTTTGGAATTGATTTGATGCAGTCTTAAAAAAAAATAAAAATAGAAAAAGTTGTCCAAAGAAATGCATTCAAGCTGAATGTAAGGGCCTTGCAAGCTTGGCCTCTTCCTTTTTGTTTGGTATTTTTGGCCTTTCTGTTAGTAATTCACTTAAGTTCATCCAAAATCTGCCTTTAAGATGTTTCTAGCTTATTTTTCTGTGACACCCTATCTTTTTGCCTCTTCTGGCTCCCTTTCTCTCTCGCAACAAATAACAGGACTATTTTTTTCTTACCTTTTCTTACCCAGTGTTGTGTCCGTGTGTGATTCCATTCTTCATTACTAATTTCATTTGATTGCTTTGTCCTCTGGTGCTTATTCCAAACTAGAACTGATAGGCATAACCATAATCTTGACCTATTTTCATATCTCTTGAGGTTTTTCTGCAACAATCTTAATATACAACTGGTTAGTGAGATAGCCTCTATGGAATCCTGTTACTTTAAAAGTTTTGTGGCTGGGTTTTGGTTGGTTTGTTTGTTTCTTTCTTTCTTTCTTTCTTTTTTTTTTTTTTTTTTTTTTTTTTTTGTTCTTTCAGGGTTTTTTTTATGAATTCAGAACTGCATCTGGCCTGTGTAAGCACATTTTTCTGGTTTTGTGGGTGGAGTTTAGCCCCATCCCTCTTCCACTTCCGTTATGCCAGTCCTTTTTTTTTCTAATATGCAAGTTAGAGACAGCCTTGCTATATCTGCACAACACACTTATGACTTCTCATTCTGGTTGAAGGATGAGAACTACTGTCCACTACTTTAATAAAAGTAACTTGATCCAAAGCATTTGGCATAGATCAATTCATCTCGTTTGTGTTATTCTTTAACTAACTGATAATGTTGCTACTTGGCATATGCATTCTTGTTTAGTACCTGTTTCTGTACTGGATGAATCTGACATCTATTTAGTTTTAATGTCTGGGCCTCAATAGGTGCTTTTATGGCTAAAAGTATTAACCTTTATTTCTTGGTGGTAGTGGAAAGTTCTGTCAGAAAAGTGATATGGACACAGTATTAAGAAATTATCCCACTGATGCATGTTCACTCTTCTAAAAATCCTTATGTAGGAAACTAAATTGGGAAAAACTGAGTACAGTATTACTAAACCTGGAAAAAGAGCAACGAGCAATTTTCTTCTGAAATGTTTTAAAAAAGCAAATTAGCTGAGTTGGTTTTATTCTAAGTCATCCTATTACAGGTTTTAAGTGGCATTGTACAAATGTAAGTATTTAAGAGCTTTGCAAGCAGTGGTGTCAAATGAAAATACAAATGTCCCCTGGCTTTTCCATTACTCATTACAGCTTGCAAAAGAATAATCCTGCTGCATTTGTATACACTGAGTTTTTACATTTCTTCTGAAGTCATGTACAATGCCTTGGGCTGGCATTTTGCTTCTCTGTGTAAGATTCACTTTCCATTTTCAACAGGCGGTAATGCATAACTGTGATTGAAGTGTTCAGGAAAAGACTTAAACATTTATTTTGGTTTTTGTTTTTAAGTTATTAACCAGTAATACGCAGGTGCTTTGAATCCCATTTTCTGTCAGTTCACCCCTCAAACCCGAGACTTGGTCATTGCTGAAGATTGTTCTGAAACTGAGAAGGAATAGCAAAAGTACTCATCCAAGGTGATGGTACTGTATGGTGTTAGCTTGTCAAGGTCCAAGATCTCCCTGCAGTTGCTTCAGCAGCAGTGCAGACCTCCCCCGTTGGTACCAGTGACTGAGTTGCTGTTCTCAAAATAGTAAGGTTCACATGCAAGCCCTTTGTGCATGTTTAGCAGCTATGCTACCCAGCCACCTAAAACTTTCTGGTTTATGTTAGTTGTTAATTTTTCAATGATGATTGGATGTGTATGTATCCAATTGTGATGGTATTGTATTAGTAATGTCAAACTTCTATCTTCTTTTATAGAATAACAATAATTTGGATGCCTGTTGTGCAGTTCTCTCTCAGGAGAGCACGAAGTATCTCTACGGTGAAGGAGACCTAAGTTTTTCTGATGATTCTGGGATTCCTGGACTACGAAATCACATGACATCTCTTAATTTGGATTTGCAGTCACAGAATGTGTATCACCATGGAAGAGAAGGAAGTAGAATGAATGGAAGTAGGACTCTAGCTCACAGCATTAGTGATGGACACATTCAAACCAACCAGTCCAACAATGAACTGTTTCAGCAGGAGCCACAGACAGCACCTGCGCAGGTTCCACAAGGATTTAATGTCTTTGGGATGGCTAATACAGTTAGTACTTCTAATCCAGGACACCATCTTGGATTTCACCTAGGCAGCAAAGGAGTATCTAACTTGTCTCAACAGACACCCAGATTCAATCCCATTATGGTAACTTTAGCCCCAAATATTCAGCCTGGTCGCAATACCCCTACGTCTTTGCACATACATGGTGTACCTCCTCCTGTACTTAACAGTCCACAGGGAAATTCTATCTATATTAGGCCTTATATCACAGCTCCTAGTACCGCTCGACAGACACAGCAGCAGCCAGGCTGGGCATCTCAGTTTAATCCCGTGCACCCTCAGCAAGTCTACCAGCCTTCACAGCCAAGTCCCTGGACTACTCTTCCTACATCCAGTACTACGCCACATACCTCATCGCAACACTCAACGCAGTCAAATCAGCAAGGCCACCAGACTTCTCATGTCTATATGCCTATCAGTTCTCCTACTACTCCACAAGCACCTATGATTCACTCATCTGGTAGCTCACAATCCTCTGCTCATAGCCAATACAACATTCAGAATATATCCACAGGACCTCGCAAAAACCAAATTGAAATCAAACTTGAACCACCACAAAGAAATAGTTCTTCTAAGTTGCGTTCAACTGGCGCTCGCACCTCCACTACTCCCTCTTCCCTCAACAGCCAGACATTAAGTAGAAGTCAACCCACTGTTTACATATCGGCCAGTCCTCCAAATACTGATGAAGTGATCACACGCAGTCAGCCCAAGGTCTACATTTCAGCAAATGCCACAACAGGAGATGATCAAGTTGTGCGGAACCAGCCCACTCTTTTCATATCAACAAATCCTGGAGTATCTGCTGCTTCTAGGAATATGTCTGGTCAAGTAAGCATGGGTCCTGCATTTATTCATCACCATCCACCCAAGAGTCGAGCAGTGGGCAACAGCACCACTGCAACCTCTCCTCGAGTGGTGGTTACGCAGCCTAACACAAAATATACTTTTAAAATTACAGTTTCTCCAAATAAGCCCCCTGCAGTTTCTCCAGGGGTTGTGTCCCCAACCTTTGAACCTACAAACCTTCTAAACCTTCCTGATCACTATGTTGAACCAGAGGGTATCCAGCATCTTGCTGACCCTGTTTTAGCGCATGTGGATAGGATCAGTGATGCACGGAAATTGAGTATGGGATCTGATGATGCTGCCTACACGCAAGGTAATATTCTTAATATAAATAGTAGAGATTTTCAACAAGGTAGTCAATTCAGTGTGTAGATTACGGAACAGGAAACAGTTGATAACCTTTGTGAGTGTTAATATAGTATCTTCAGCTAGCAAAATAAAAAAACCTTTATAAGCATAGATTTCTTTTTATGGTAAAGGCATGTAACTGAATACTTGGAGATAATTTTTCTGTTTGTCTTAAGTAGGTATGTTACCTGTATAATGAAGTAGAGTCACAGTGTTTTATTCTTTATGTTGTTCTGAAAGAAACATCTAAACTTGTTCAATTTGTCTTGACGATTTAAAGTTATCAGTCTACTGGCAGAGTTTTGAATCTTTTGAGATACTGTTTCCATTGGAAAATGTTCCCGGTTTTTTCCTTTTTCCGAGTGTTACTTAAGAAGCAAGAAAAGCAGACTTCAGAAGAAATTAGTGGGATAAAGTGTTGGCTTCTGTGTTTCCTAATGTGTGCCTGACAAGAAAATGCTTAAAGTCTTGATACTTACTTCTGTTATGTTCTAAAATGTGAGAAGGAACACTACGCCAGAGAAAGCTGTATTTTAAAGAATCAGTGGTGATGGGGAGAGTAAAACTTAGAATACATGATACAGCAGCTCAACCTGTTAATCTTTTTCTTCTGTTTTCATGGGTTTTGCATGCTTTTATTACCAACTTGATGGTTTATTAACCTTCCTGGATAAAGATGTTTTTGTATAAAGATGTTGAATGAGCCTTAGGCTATTTAAGCAGTATTCACGATAGGTTGTCAAAATAATTTCTCTTTGACCTTATTGGTTTTCTTTGGATATGGCAAACAATTCAGCATTAAAAAACTGACTTGTTCCATGACCACTGTAAACATTCTTCAGATTAATTTAGCCATTTTGCGTTGTAGAAGTATAGTGATCAGGACAGTAAAAGCCTGGGGTGCATCTTGAGTGCTATAACAATGAAGTAAATAAAACACCGATTATAGTTTGTGTGCTACTTCTGGATATTATGTTTTACAATCATTGAAGAGTTAACACCAGAAAATGATTCGTCTGTAGAAAAGCAAAATAAACTGCCCTCCAGAAGCTGTATTCCCTTTTCTTACTCAGATGGGAGGCTTGACTGGCTGTTTAGTCCTAGAAGACTTCTAGGGCCCCAAAAATTAAGCAACTGAAATGTTTTCCTTAGGCTCTATCTAAACACTCTTCTAGATCATGAATTTGCTTCATGCATTCTGCATTTTAGATATTTGTTGGGGAAGGGTGTCCCTTTCTCTTGTTCTGTCGTTCTGATGGGACTGACTTCTACCAGATCTATTTCATCTCTTGTACACTCACTATGCATGCAGTCATATGTTGAATAGTGAAGCTGAACAATTATTTTCATGGTGCTCATTCTGTGTATAGCTTTCCATCTCTGTAATGGGCAGGCATCCTATTAAGAAAATACATAACTGTAACAAAATCCTTAGGTTGATGTTTTCATACTAGGGAGTTTCAGTCCCTCAGTTCAATCCTACTTGGCTTTTGACTGTCTTTTTTGTATTTTCTTTGTCTTGGGGAGGGGATGGCATGCATAGTTCATCATTGGTACCACCTATATGTATGTATGTGGATGTACATGTACTCAACACTTCTTGCCACTGTTTTTAATGTAAAAATGTTAATTGGTAAGCTAGTTCAGTAACTACATGTTTTGCACAGTTCTTGCTTTGGTTTCTTAGAGCTTTTTAAAATTTTCAGAAAGAAAAAAAGCCAAGGAAACAAATTTCTTAAAATCCTAACCACTCCTTTAGATGTCTTAAAAAAATAAATAACCTGAATGAGGTACAGCTGTGCCCCATCCTCCAATTACTTATGTGATCTAAGAATAAAATAGAGAATTATATTTGTCTCTGTATCAGGCCCCACTCTTAAGTAATGTTCTCTTTAAAAAATTAAATTTAAAGAGTATTGGAAAGGGAGAACAAAACCAAAATCATTTTGAACTTCTGAAATCGCATATTAAATGGCTGAGTTTGTGTAGCTTTGAATACAGGTTTTGAAAATGCACACCAACTTAAGTGTGTCCTGAATCTACTGCCACAGAACAAATTGCAATGCCAGGATTGCCCTTTCCTCCAGATTGAGCAAACTAAGAAATTTCAAGCATTGATAGGCCTATAGAATAGGGTGAAATCATTGTGTTCCTAGATTAGATTTCTTTTTTCCCTTAGAAACGCAATAACAAAAGATATGCTTAAGTAGTAATTGTTTAAAATTCAGATTCACAGAGGCTTCAAGAAAACAATTATGCATACATTTTCAAACTTGCAAGTATATTTAGTACCTAATTGAGTAGGTATCTAGGAAGAAGTGAACTTTTGTCCTCCAGACTTTCATGCTCCCTGTAATTACAATGATTTACAGCCTTTTTGTGGAAAATGTGCGCTTTGAACCTCGAAGGAACCAGTGGCATCTGCCAGAGCACTGAATCGTGCAGTTCCTGCCAAGCTGCTGAATGTGAACAGACAGAAGCTGAAAAAATTGAGTGTGCATAATACCATGTTTGCACATAATTAAAAAGCTGAACATAAAATATGTTCTGGTTGCAATACAATAATGACAAGTTGAGAAGGCAATTTTGTACTTCTTTTCTAGGGTGATTCCAGGAAATACCTTCTTTTTAAAGATGTCCAAATAAACAGGTGCAAGCCTGAAACTTTCTGGCTCGTATTCCCGGTTAGCCTGTGTAGAGTAACCTTGGTGCCTATGCTGCCTACATAGGTCGAATCCCCTTCCTGCAAGAAGCACAGGATTATCAAAAAGACCATCAAATATGTCCTCATGGTCAGTCTAAACTAAATTTAGTAGCTGAATTATATTAGATTTACAGATCAATGCGGTTTTCTTCTTAATGTTTTTGGCTGCTCTGATCAACACTAGAGGGAGCTGAATACTTAAATTGCTGGTTTCCATTAATACCACAGTGGGATATGGGGAGATTTTGTCTCCCACACCCTATTTTTTCCTACAGCTGTCAAAATGGTATTTAGGCAAAATTACTAAATTGTATGTGAAAGCCACCACTTAAACCAATGTCTTGCCAGTCCCTTATCCAAGTTATTTTTAACAGAAGTGTTACGTAGCAATATCGAGGGATTCTTCTTTAATCATAATAGTAATTTTGTAATTAGTGTGTTTAAAATCTTTTGGGATTTAAAATTAGAAAATGGTAGTAACATGGCTACTAGGAGAATAAATTGGATTGTGCCTGGAAAGTGATGTGAAAATGGAGAGCATGTAGTAGTGCTGTTGGGCATCCATTAGTGCCTTCCGCTCCCTACACAGTTCCATAATGACAGCTTAATTAATAAATCACAGAAATGGGGAGCTGTGGAGTTTTTCCCATTTACAAGAATAGGTTTAAAAAAAACATGGGGAGTGGGGAGTGTCTTGCTCATTAGTCTACTCTTGAGTCCATGCCATATGTCCTAGAGATACTCTGGTATCAGCCTTCCTCGCTTACAACTTCTAGCGGACTCGTTGCTCACCAGCATCCGTAGTTGGATGGGTCTGAAGAGCTATTGAGTCTGACCAGTAGAGCACAGCTGTGCTGCTGCAGGTCAGATACCAGTGACCTAGCCTTTGAACAGTTGCCTCAGCAGTAATACCAAGGCAGTGGAAATAGAAGAGACTATCTAAAAGTAGAAATGAAGTGTAGAAAAAAAAGAGCTTGTACTCTCCTTACAAGACTAAAGTAGTCTTTGATTTCCTTTCCTTATAGTTGCAGCTACATTTGTAACTTCTGGAGTTCATAAATGGGAACAAGTTCCTCCAGTTGTTTGAATTCCTAGAAAGCTTTTCAAGAGGAGAGGTTGTCTTCTTAGACTCCTGACCTGATGATTCCAAGTCTTCAACAAAAATCTTTGTCTTGGGATTTCAGTTCCTAAATTTTTATATCACATATGAGCACAGCTGCAGCTTTAACTGTAGTGTGACTGTGTGGCTACCACAAAAGTTTATGCAGATAAAATTGAACAAAACTAAGCAGAAGATTAAGCAGCTTTGTTGTTTGTCAAAAGTATCTTTTGAACACGTGACTCAAAAGCCTGGGCTGAATCTCTGTAAGGCCTTGCAGTTATGTAAAGCTGTACAAAAATAGTTTGGCATGGTTCCTCCTCTTGAAGAACCTCTGGAAGACTAAAATATGATGTGTGAATGAATGAACAGGCAGGAAATGCAACAGAGGGCAGGCAGTTCTGCTTGCCAAAGATGTGGAAAGTTGCATCTTTTTGATGTGCCTTTTTTTTCTGCCTTCCTCCCCCCTCTCCCCACTACTGAGGAAACTTAACCAAACAAACTGTAGTGCTTCTCATATTTTGGTACCTGAAAGAAATCATGATGAACATTACATTCCAGCCAGAGTCTGCTTAAATATTTCATGAAGCAAATTCAGTCCCTTTAAAATACCTTGTTACTGCTACTACATTATAATTTCCACAGTGCTATAAAAGTATCCATGATCTATGAAGCTGATCCCAGTTTATATGAATTAATAATTTAATGGATGAATTAATAGCTGTGCAGAAGTTGAAATGATTGTTGCATTTATTTAATGAAATACTTTTTCATTTTTATAGGTGATTATTGCTTTGAGTGGTGTTATCTACTCACTTGATATTTAATAGCATACCTACCTTTAATGATATGAGCGCCTTAGTTTGTATAAAATCAATTTCATCTCCTGATACTTACATTCTTTATATCTTTAAAAAAACTGTGGTTTAAATGATAACTTCACCATTTCTAAATTAGGTCTCCTCATGCCATTTTCTTTATAAATAGTAGGCAGTGTTAGAAATTAGAAGCTGAACTAATGATTCTGCGCCATAGTTCAGGGATAAAATGGCATACAGTCTGGCCTCTGTGATGACTATAACTGATGTTTGCCAGTGGTATTGCCTGTAGTACTTTCTGGTTTAGTTTCATATAGTGTCTTCTGCTATGAGAAGGACAATTTGTTATATTCAAATCCAAGTGGCAATAAAAATCAAAACCTTAGATGTGTATCTAGTATATGTAGTGTTCTTTGTATTGTGGCCATCCCTCTGAAATCCTCTTCATGCTACCTGTTTTACAGTGTTTGGGTGAATATAATGCAGGGAAACATTTGTTGCTGTTTTCTGGTAGTCGTTCTTGTAGATTGCTTTGGTTCTTGGAAGAGACTTCTACAGATTACAGCTAAATTTTGCATGGTCATCTGTTACGTTGTATGACTTTCTCATCGTATTTGCTTGTTGTCTGTAACTGATTTGTGCTGTTTTCAGAAATATAACACTTAGTGTCTTATGGCAGAAATTTTCTTGTGAGGAGAATGGAAAAGCAATCTCTAACAATTTTTTGTCTGTATTTTCCCAAAAGAATACTAACTTTCATCTTTAGCTTATGTTGCCATGTGAAGAATAATAAGGTAGATAAAGTGGGACTTTATGTATTACAGCTTTACTGGTACACCAGAAGGCCAGGATGGAGCGACTTCAGCGAGAACTTGAGATTCAAAAGAAAAAGTTGGATAAACTAAAATCAGAGGTCAATGAAATGGAGAATAATCTAACACGAAGGCGCCTGAAAAGATCGAATTCTGTATCGCAGATTCCATCAGTAAGTTGAAATGCCTGTAGGCTATAAACCTAAACCACAAGTGTGGTCTGTCACGTTAAATTAAAGGAACAGTTGCTCATATATTGGCAATATACTAGTGACAAGTAATACAGCTAGAATTAAACCAATAAACACTGTAAACACTAAATATGCATTATTGAACCGTAGCCTTTCAGTTCACTAGTTGCTTTTTGAAGTGTTGCTTTTAAAGACAGTCACAAAAGGTTTGACCTGCTAGTCCTCCCTAATGTTTAAGACTACAAATTAATACTTATACTGCTTTCTACGCAAAGTACTTTTTGGTGTTCATGCGTATACCAATCTCAAGAAAACTGATTAATACACCAGTTTTCAGTGTCAGATGAGCCATTGACCTGGTGGACCATTGGCACCTAGCCACAATCTGGAGTCATTCAGTAAGCTCTGAAACCTGATGAGAGAAGAATTCAGTGGGTCTGAAAGCTTCGTTTAAGATTATGCTTGGATTAAAAGAAAGGTCATTATAAAGGAAGATTCCTTTATCTTCGCTTCTGAAATAACTGGATGCTGTCTGCTTATGTGTGACTGGTGACTGATAATGAAATGGAAAAATTTAACAGGCAGATTTATTTTTTTCAGCTGGAAGAAATGCAACAGTTACGAAGTTGTAACAGACAGCTGCAGATAGACATAGATTGCCTAACCAAAGAGATTGATCTTTTTCAAGCAAGAGGTACAGTATGTCTTAGTACATCAACAACTGTAAATACTGATTTATTTATTTTTTCCCTTCATTCACTGCATATAGAAAAGTCTCTGTTACAAATGCACACTATGTATATACACACTATTTGCAAAATCATCACATTAGTTTGAGTGGAACCATGGAAGTAATTGTCTAAGCCTGGGTTTGTTTGGCTTTGTGTTATTTTGTTGCTGGCTTTATGATTTTCCTAATTCCACAGTCATTCCTATCTCCTACTTAGCTCAGAAGAAACTTGTGATGCTGTTTATTTCATAAACCCTGGGGTGGGAAATCTGGTTATTTGAGTATCAAAGAAGGAGGAGAAGCTGTTTTCTGAATGATACAGCTATACCTATGTGTCCATCTCTCTCTCTTCTTTCACTTTTTCTGTATTGTATTCAGCCTCTCAAGTTAGCAAATATAAAGTACAGTTGTAACTTCCAGTGTACTCTGCTCCTATTCTTGTCTGCAGGGACACAGTCTATTGGTCATGTGAGTGAAACTATGAGAGAGCTGAGCCAATTCAAGAGCTGCCAGCAAGAGGTCCCCTTCTCTGCCTGTTTCCCTCTCTTGCTACTTACTGTGACTCTGGCTCTGTGTTACCTTTCTATACCTACTGCAGAGCTGATTCTGCTCCCTAGCCAAGCAAAAAATAAGACCTTGCTACAGCTGATGTGAGGGAGAGGCAAGGGAAGGGAGAACTGAGAAGGGGAAGGGACTAATGATTTCATCAGAGCAAGCTGTTAGATTGCTGTGAAGTTCTCCTTCAGACAGTGTACCTGCAGATAAGGAGAAAGTAGACAGGTGTACTGAATGTAAAAACTTGACCTTAAATAAAATATTCAAATTACATGTGATTTTTGTCTGTCCCTTACAGTAAATTTGAGTTAGGAGCTCCTCTAGGTATTAGATCTAAGCATATATAATGTGCTGTGTAGTAGATAGCACATCTCTTTCAGTAAGTTACAATTTAGAAAGTGTCTCAGGTAAAATTACTAATAAAATGCTGTTAAATATTTGAATGGCAGAAAAATATATTTAAGGAGTTTGTGCTACTGGATTCTATTTCTGACTTCTCTATTGAATATCTTGCACAGTAAGTTTCTTCAAGTGTATTTTTGACACTGGTAATATCTTAGGTCTGTATTGACACCCTGATTTAAAAGGTAATAAGTGAGTAATAGTACTATTTCAGAATTGGTGCCAAAAAAAACCTGATATGCTTTCCTACCCAAGCTTATTTTTAAGACTGCTGTACTTTTTTATTTTTAGGACCACATTTTAATCCCAGTGCTATTCATAATTTTTACGATAATATTGGATTTCTTGGTCCGGTTCCACCAAAACCCAAAGGTACTGTACTGGTAAAATTTGGATTTAATACTAATATCCGGTTTGCATCTAATACCAAGTTGCAGTTTATGAATCTAGTTTAAATGTTGATTATGAAATAGATTACTTTAAAAGTATATGAACCTTACATTTTACCTGTATTGGCAGTAAATATGCTTCTGTTTGCTGGTTTCCTCTCTATTTATGTATTCAGGAAAGAAATGTATTAAATGGGGTATGTTTAAAGATGGGTAATATGTTGGGGGGTATTTTAGGTCAATGGAAGCATAAATTTTATTTTTTCTTTTAAATGAGAGCATGGGAGATACATAGCTTAGGGATGAGTGAAACTCATTTAGATAACTTCAAAATTTTCTTTGGGGAAAAGTAGATTTATTTATACGTTCCAATAACCCAGTTTGGTTACCCTGACTTCCTGGGTACTGTACAATTTTTACTAGCAATTTACATTAAAGCCGTATCTGAGTCTTGTTAAATACAGTTTTACATAAGCTGATGATGAAAGGAATGCTGCCCAATAGAGCAGTCAGTATTGTTGAAATTCTCAGTCTGTCTTGAACACTGTTTTGCACTTTTTCTTGCCCTAATGGGATGTCAGATAAAATACAGTAATTACCTCATGTGTTACCTAAAGCAGAGAATGAAATTAACTGGTTTGCAGCAGCATCATACCATGACCTATAAACAGACCACCAAATGAAATAGATAATCCACTCGTTTCTGTCTAGTCTTTCTGTCCAGGAAGTTCTCCACATAATATATATGTGTGATTGGTCCCTGTAGTGTGCAGGTAATCATTGTTATAGAATCGCATTTTATGTATTTCTAGCCATTCTGTATTTCAGTAGGGTCTGGATAAATTGTACTTTTTTTGTCCTCCAGACTGTTTACAGCTCTTCCAAACTGGTGCTCTTCTTCATGCTTTATGAGGGTGCTTTTGCCTTCCATTATCTAAGCTGTTAATGAAAGTACTGAGTAAAGTTACATTCACACGTAGTAATTTCAGACAAACTTTACAGCTGAACCATGAAGAATTTATCATAAGTTTTGTCAATTAAAAAGTTCCCTTTGCATTAAATAAAACCTATCAAAGAAGAAAATTAAAATTAATTTTCTGTGGCTAGCTAATATTTGCATTGACTAATCTTCTGAGAACTCACAAGTTTAGGTGTTTAACTATATGGTACAACCTACCTTGAACATGCAAAGTTAACCCAGACTGGTTTATTAACTTCTGAAGTAACTCTCATTCTTTCTTTCTTAAAAAACATTGATATTGTATCTTAGTCTTTTGTTAATTTTAACTGAATTTTCAGTTCATTTTAAGTTTCAGTTTAGCTACGATATAAGCTGCAACTTCAACCAGACTTAACCACTGTTGACAAAAGAATGAAAAATAATTCTTTTTGCAGTTGTGATCAATTCCTTTGTACTTCCTGAAACTGTTGCCGTCGTTCTGCAAGTTGGCTACTTGCTAATGAGGTGTTCTCCAATTGACATAATTGGCTAAAAGACTTTGTTGCAGTTACCTAAACTGAGAACCCTTAACTTGAGAAGTTGATCTTCTTTATTTTCATCTTCTATATTTTCTCTTTTCACCTTCTGTCTTTTCAGATCATGCAAAAAGATGCACTTGTATGCTTGGGGGGGATTACTCTGTAGTGTAACAGACCTAGGCACTGATTTTCACTTTTGTGTATCTGCCTGCCTATTTGTTTTGGGGTAGAGCTGCATACATTCATTCTAGGTTCTAAATGTTAAATGTATCAAAAGGTTACAGACCAGTTCTTGATTTAATGAATTTTAGACTGCCTCGTAGGCCTCAGACTACTAAATCTTGTGCATGTTTCCTGTGCTGATTAATTTCTACATTTTATCTCCTTTACACGCAACAGCTTTGAACTGAGACCAAAAGGGAAGAAGAAAGCAGAGGGAAGGGATGTGAAACTTGCTTTTTATAGTTTCACCTTGTGCCTTTTGGCTGACTTACAATCAAGCTGTAGTCAAGGGGGTGGTAAAATGCTGCCTCTGTCACTTGCAATAACTGTGCTGTTCTCAGAGGAAAAAGATAGTTCTCAGTTACTGAAAAAAAAAAATCATCGCAAAATTCTTTCCATGCTGTTCTTCGTTAGTAACTACTTATCTTATCTCTTTCATGTCACAGATCAGAGGTCCATTGTGAAAACACCAAAGACTGTTCCAGACACAGATGAAGATGAGGGAGCTCAGTGGAGTTGTACTGCCTGTACTTTTTTAAATCATCCAGCCTTAAATCGCTGTGAACAGTGTGAAATGCCCAGGCATTTCTGAGCCAACAGGCTCATTACTTTCTGTAAAACCATAGCAAATGTTACAAGGATCTATCCAGTCATTGGGGGGAGGGGGGGTGAGAGGGGGGGGCAAAAAAAAGCATTTATGCGTAGGATTTTGTAAAATTGAAGGTGTGACAAGATGGTATTTTGCTAATGTTAAATGTCAGCCCACAGAGCTAGTAATACCTCAGTGTTGTGTCACAGGCAGTTGAAATCGATCGGCTGAAAGGTAATCTGCTGGAAGACTCAGTTGCCAGCTGCCTAAACCGTGTACAGTATTACCAGTATCCCAGTAACACACTCCATGTCCAGTGCTTGGGTGTTGCCCATTCTGTTCTCTGCCCAGATGTCACTACTGAATTTTGACAGGGGCAAAGGAATAGAGTGCTAGTGTTTTTGTTTTCAGAGCATTCAGTGGAGCACTACATGCACAGAGGAGATCTAAAAAGAACAAGGTTTAACTGTGTAAACTGTTTGCTGCCATAATAGTGCCTTCGATAAAGGGAAGAACTTCACAAATCAGTGGTACTTTCTCCCTTCCCTGAAAACATCTCTGTGAAGCCAAGTACAATCACGTCTAAAGATGAAAAGGAAAAACTGCATGCGTTGTCTGTACAATACACACAGTGAAATACCCCAAAGCTTTTTCCTACTGTACATAGCTCTAGAGCCTGCTTTAAGTGATTTCTTTTCTTCACCTTTATTATTTTCTTGTACTTCTGTATGTATAGTGTAATAGTCTTTTTGTTAACTTTCTTTTTTTTTTTCCTTTAAGTGATTAAGCACGATCATGTCCCCTTTTTTTAAGCTTTTATCTGAGAGAAGCAATGCCTTAAAATAAGAGCATTAATAAGAAACTATGCACAAAATAGCTTTCCTCTGCTCATTCTGTACATTGCTCTTGTAAATGCTGATGATCTGTGAAGACCTGCAGATGCAGCGTGGTAAAAATGCAGGAAAAGTTGGAAGAGTTATGCATATAGTTCACTCTGTACACTGAGTTTTACGGTGGGTGACACAAGGTAGCGTTTTGTCTGGTGTGAGGAAACTTTGTACTAAGCAACTTTCAACCCACCAACAGATCGGCATCCGATTTAAGCTTGCTTCATCTGCTGGGTATCTTGCAGACTCTTGAAGAGGAATTCGTTGGGGAAGTACATACAGTGCCAAAATCAACAGCAGCAGCATCGTACAGCTTTGTTCAAGGACTTTAAATGCTTTCCTGTTTCTGCAGCCGGTTTCTAAACCTGACTTTGTGGTGAAGTCTCATATTTATAGAAAACAAGGATAGCAATACTTAGGACAACTGAAATAAAGGCTGGAAAAGAGAAATCAAACAGACTTGAACACTGAAGCAACCTCAAGCATCTCTTTATTTTGATGATCTATTTTTTTAAAGAAAATATTCACATGATCGGGGATGTATGTAACTGAAATCAAGAAAATGGAATTCCAGTTCAGTATGCATGAAAGATGGCACGCAAAGAATGATGTAGCAGCACTTAGCGTGAGGCTGGAGGAAGTGCTAATAATGTAGCAAGAGACAAAGTAGACTGTCACCCACTGTAAACATTTGCCAGTGGACACTTTTGTTAGGAGTTTTACAAGTGATCTATGTGAATGCACAGAGGCCTTTGTTTTGAAGGCTTTGCTTTTTTTTTTATGTGGGAAGAAAATGCCAATCCCAGGTAATTAGGCAGTAGACCCAAAGCACTTGCATTCAATGCATTTTGTTTATAAAATGAGGCCTTGTTTTTCAGCTTCATCTGCAGTTCTATGTGAAGATTGACAAATCAGTTTTTACCTGTTTATTAATAAAACCTAATTTGGATATCTTGAGTTGATGGTTTTGTGATTTAGCTGGGTAAACTGCCTTTGTAACAGATAAGTTATTTATAAAAATTAAAAAAAAAAAAGAATTATATTCTAATGTTTGGGTTTGTGATTTGTTTGCTTTTCCCATGCTGTGGAGCAACACAATACTCAATGAAACAATAAGATTAGCAGTCTTGAAAGTAGATTTTTCTTATGACCAGAGATTTTATTTAAGGCTTTGTTTTGTTCAGTCTTGTCTTTCCTCCCATGCATTATTCTGTTTGATTCTAATTCAGTGACTGCTGTAAGGAATGTGTTCCAAAAAGCTGTACTGATAAAAACCATTCACTTATTTATGAAGTAGTAAGCTAGAGGTGGGCCTTTTTACCTCATGCTTTAAGGGTTTATGGCTTTTAAAATATTTTTCAAATACAAAATGAGCAACCATTTTGTCTGAGGTATTAGGTGATACAGAATATACTTTGTATACTGTTAATGTACTTACAGTTTAAGGATTCATATGGTTAAACTGTGTTTTGGTGCTATGTATATTACACTGTTGTAAGATGTGCAGTGTTCCTGGACTTGTCCTTCCCACTTGGTCCTGGTGTAGACAGACATCTGGTATGTGGAGTTGGGCTTTCCTGAGACACGGTCATTCTATGTAAAAGCCCTTCAGGAGACATCTATAAACAGATTAACTACATATCCAGCAAGAAACGTAGTGAATCAACTGGAGTGCCTTAATCTGCTGTGTGAAGAATATCGTTCGGAGCATGGAGGGCAGCTGTATTTAAAAAGCAAACCAAAAACTGCAGTCAGCTGTTGGGTGGAAAAAACATGTTTGGGGAAATAGGTAAAATGGAATTCTGTTCATCCTATCGAATATGTAATTGATCTTTTCCTTGCATTTATTTGAGTGTTTATTTTCTGAAAGAGGGGAAAAAAAAAAAAAACTTGCATCCTAGCTTCAGCTGCTTATGCAGAGCCCTTGACACAGCACTCAAATAAGCAATACATTTTTGTAAACTAGGTGTATTTTAAAGTAGTTATCAGCATACAGTCACTTGGTGATAAAATGCAGAATCCAATTTTGATACTTGATGAAATAGAAGAAATAGTTTTCACTGGAAGTATGACTAAAGAATTACCTGCTTCACACTTACATAAAATACTTTTATTGTCAAACAGCAAAATAACACACTTAGAAAGCATTCTTATGTCTGAGATGTCTGTTTATATCCATCATGCTTTGCCAAGAAGGGTTGGATGAGGTGATCCCTGAGGTCCCTTCCAACCTTGTATTCTGTGATTAGTATGAAAATGTATTAGGCAGTGTTTTCAGTAACTGATCCTGGAACACTGGGATAAGAGAAGTGACATCTCCAGTATTGTCCTTTAAACAGACTTTTACGTTCACCTTCAGTTACCTTTTACCTTCACCTTACCTTTTGCATTCTTCCTGAATTTCAAGTCACATACGTCATCAGCTCTTCCTTCAAGCTGATGTTGGTATATTGGCATGTCACTGTTGTATGTTTTTAAAGGGTAGGGTTTTAAGGGTTTAAATTTTGAAGGATGATACAGATTTCATGGCTGAATTTTATTATTTTTCCTCATAGAAGATAAATATAAAAATTGAAACATTTGCAGTAAGGTTAAACTTTTTATTATGAACATCAAAAGCTTACCTTGAATGCTGATTTATGACTTTTTTAAGATCTTTGGATCTCTGTAATGGGGAGGGGGAGAGATATTATTTCACTCTAGCAGGAAGGGAGAACTACACTCCTGGGCTTTTAGAGAAGCTCCCATTTATTTTTTGTGACTGTGTGAAACACTATCAAATGATCAAGCTTCTGATTTGGGATAACTTTGGAAATGAAGGCAGTGAAACTGAGCCAGAGAACTGGTAATTGGACTTCTGTGTCACGTCAACTCAGCTGTGTAGAGCTGACTCCTGTTGGTGGCTTGCTAGATAAACTGGAAAAACATTTGTCTTCTGCAGCTACTGATCAGTAGAGGTATTCTGTTGCCCAGGAGTAGGGTTATGTGTGGCGCCCCTGAAATTCAGATTAAATGTGAGATTTGATGTCTTTGGTTTCAAGCTAATGATAGGTCGATTTTAAAACTGCATAGTCAGTATTTGTGCCTGTGTGTATTTGTTTTACTTATGTCAAGTTCATCATTTTTATGATCTTGAAATGTCTACCTTTGGTGTATTTTGTAGGTGCCCAAGGAGAAAAGTACCCTTATCAGTACTTTTTTCTGTCAGATTTCTCTGCCTTGAGTGGCTATGACACATGAGTCTGGATACAAATTAAAAGAAGACTTGATTAAAGATGTTGAAGAAGCATTAAAAAAAAAAAGTCACCAAGTATTGAAATCTATTGAGTATTTACCCTTTTATTCATATCTTGTAAAAAAAAAAACCATATCCTAAATTTGAACAGAAATATACAAATCAGCTTTAAACTTTTGATTCCTTACTCTGCACTCATACAGGGTAGAATGTTTACAATGCACTCCTTTTTCAAGCCTGACTGCTTAATAACAGTTTTATTGCTAACTTTGAGGAATAGTCTTTAATTTTATGTAGCCCCAAATGGCTTGTGAGGGTCATACTTTGTGTAAGCTACTTTAAAGTTACCAGAGGGAGAGAGGGAGAACAGGAGTTGGTATGAAATGTTTGAGGGCTTAGAATCAGAGAGTAGTTAGGGTTGGAAAAGACCTTAAGATCATCAAGTTCCAACCCCCTGCCATGGGCAGGGACACCTCACACTAAACCATGCCACCCAAGGCTCTGTCCAGCCTGTCCTTGAACACTGCCAGGGATGGAGCATTCACGACTTCCTTCAGCAACCCATTCCAGTGCTTAACCCTCTCACAGTAAAGAACTTCCTCCTTGTATTTAATCTAAACTTCCCGTTTAAATTTGGACCTGTTACCCCTTGTCCTACCACTACAGTCCCTAATAAAGAGTCCCTCCCTAGCATCCTTACAGGCCTAACTACTATAGGAACACTGGGGAATGACAATGAACGTTTGGAATGATGCGATCACACTAAACTTTGAAATTTTGGTACAGTTCTCAGTGGGTTTGATCTGTTTTTCTTTGAGCAAATCCATGGTATGCTTCCTTTCACAGGATAGTTTCTCACACAGTGGTGCCTTCAGAGGCTGCACTGGGAGAACTAAAGTGTGTGCTTCAGTCAGACTTTAGACATGTTCATTCCCATCAGTGTAAGTGGATAT